AAGCATTATTATTAAGAGAAAAATATCAATACCATTAAATATTATTGGTTAATGCATGCTCTTCAAAATGCATAACATTTAGGTCAAATTGAATATACCATATATTCCGGACATATAATACGCACTTTTAATGCAAAAAATAACATTGGAATTTACGGGTGCGCTGTATACGCCGAATATAAAAAATTATAGATTAAAAAATTTTAAATATAGAAACATGCTTTTATTTTAAAGAAATAACATACCTTTACCTATATACTTTATTGATTTTCATTATTGCATAAATAGTTCATTATATTCGTCCTTCGTTATTTCTTCAGGCATGTCATCACAATTCGTTTCGTCTTCATCATCTGTGTTACCCTCATCCATAAATAAACAGTCATCTTCTGATCCGTCCAGATTATTTAAAATGCTGCATTTTTTTTATGATTTTCTAACCATCTCAGGCTTAATTTCATCCCATGCTTTTAATATCCATTCGCACACTGTTCCCAAACTTGCATGACGCATATGTTCTCCTTTCGTAAAGATTTTCTCGCCCTCCAACATCCAAGTGTTCCACTGGGTTTTTTTTAAATGGTTTGTTTAAGCAGACATCCAATGGCTCAACTAATGATGTCAATCCGCCCGGAATAACTGCCATATCGGTGTTACATTCTTTCAACAATTTTTTGTATTATCTGTAAGGTGGGTCCTAAACATGTCCCATACTAAAAGGCTTTCTGGTTTTCTTACGCGGCCAGGACGGATTTGCCAGGCATTTTTTACCCACAATTTAACACCATTTTCCTCCATCCAGCCTTTTTCATGGAAATGAACAAAAATCCGTTTTGTAAAATTACATTTGGGAAGAGTATATCTTAAAATTTAAAAAAAAGTATTAGAAATTACGGGTGCGCATTATGCGCCGGAATATACGGTAGCCTCTTTTTTTTTTCCCCCTTTGGTATCATTTATCCACTCCATTCAGCATCTTAGCAATTTTTATCAAATTAATTAGCAAGCCTTGGTTGAGACTACTTTCTAGATTTCAATATTAAGAACTTATTGCAGTGCTATTATTTTTTATTGTTCCAAATTTTAGTATCTATTTAAACTTAACTGAATATCATCTTGGTTTCCAAATACAGGAGCTGAGCAATCTGTAACCCCAAATATGTTATGTTCTCAACCTGAAATTAAGTCTCCTGAATCACCAATCGAAAATCAAACTAAACAAAATGAAGAATCTGCTGAAAATGACGATCCAAATTCAGATGAGATAAGTGATGAAGACGAATTACTGTTTGAAAAAAGAGTTACATATGAAATAATGGATGGCAATGAGAGCGTAATAAAGGTAATAAAATTTAATGCTTACATTTATATATCTATTGAAAAACTGTTTTTATTTATTTACGTGAAAGTATGTTAATTGTTTTGTTTTTGTTGAAATTTGTTAGGCATTTAATATCACTGTCAGATAATCTATTCTAATAAGAAAAAATATTGTCCAGTTTTAACAGAAATTGTTGCAGTTGCAAATTAAATTCATGATGTTCTTTTCAATGATGAAGTATTTATAATTTGATCTTTGTAGGGATTCATACAGGTGACTTATTTATTATTTATCATAATTTAGACAAACAATTTTCATTATGAATAAATGCAAGAAAAATTAAAGAATTTGTATCCTTGCGAAATATTTGGAGTAAATTCATATTCATACTTGAATGTTCAGTGAAATAATTCAAATAAAAAATTTAAATTTGACACATTCTTATTTTTTATAACTATTTAATGGACAAGACACATCATTTTTTGATTTTAATCGTAACATTCTTTTATTGAGTGGAATTTTAGTGTGAAAAAAAAGAAGAAAATTCTTTGTGCAGAGTCAAAACAATAATTGTGAACTTTTCTTAATAGAGTATAGGAACTCTACAGATGACATATGATGATTCAGTGTATGGATATCATGTTTCTATTGTTAATGATGAAGATGAAGTTGTATGTGATCATGTCATTGCTGTTCAAAACTGTCTTAGAGTTGACGGGAAAAAAGCAATTTGGTCTGCCATTGATATAAGTATCGAACCTTCAAAGAAACGTCGTTTTATTGCTACATTCAGTTCTCTAGAAGCTGTGAATGAATATCAAAAATATTTTGAAGAGGTTAGTGAAATGTACATTGAATATGCCTGTTATTTCAAATTTTTGAAAATGCTATGTATTTGTTTATAAGTTTCGCCAATTAATACAAATTAATTCTTAAAAATATCAAGTGTGTCAAACTTAGTTCTATTATTGAAAATTATAATTGAATTATTTTTTCAGGTGAGTAGTAAAACCTAATTAATGTAAAGTTAAACTTTATATGTATTTAAATGAATTGCAATGTTTTTTTTTTCCTCCCTGATAACAAACTATTTATGTCTTGAAATTTAAATCATTTCCTGCAGATGGGCCAACCAAGATTTTACAGAATGGTAAAAGTTTAAAACTTATGGTATGCAAGACAACTAGATAATATTTTATGTTCTTAAAATTCTTTTTTTTTATTACTATTTTAGTTTGAGTTAACAGTTAAGTTATTGGTTCCACAATAAAAAATTTAATTAAAATGACTTGATAATATGAAATTCAAACCTAATTGAGTGTATAAGAACTTTCTTTGAATATGTTGAAATGATATAAGAAATACTTTTGTGTGAATCTGCTGAAATTATGGATTGGTTTTATTTCTGGATTAATTAATATTTTTCCAAGAAAAGTGCAAACATCAGAGTTTTAGTTTCAAAAACATTCAAACAGATTGTCTGCTTACCTGGGAAAACTTTTGCAAGTTTTGCGTCTAACTACAGTTGTTTGCCTGAATCATAAAATTTCTCCGAGTTCTTAAAACCACTTTAGAAATTATATAAAAGATACTTATAAACTTATCATTATGTTAAGTCTTCTTACTTTTTTTATAATTCCTTTTCTTCATTTTAGGGTAAAGAGTTTGCTGTTAAATCTGGTATTGTGGAGAATGACGATTTTTCTGCTAATCCAAAAGGTGAAAAAGTTTTCCTATATATATCTTATGTATTGATGCAATTTTCCTTAATATAACATAATTTTAAAACTTCAGCTAAATCATTTGAATAGTTTTTGAAACATTAAAATCATTAATTTTAGAATTTTTTCCTTTGCTTAATTCAACTTAAATTTTAAATTTTGACGTTTAAATTCGTTTAGAATGATACAAAAAATTATGTGTCTTAACTGTTGAGATTATCTTTTATAGAGTTCTTTATGCTTCAATGTCATATCAATTTGAATTTTTAAGAAATTTACCAGATAAGAATACTCTTAATTGTTAATAAGTTAAAACTTGTAAAAAATGCAATGCATTTAACATTTTGTGCCATTAAAACACCTCATTTGATTCAATTTTAAACTTGAAACACAATATGGGTGGTACAATACTTCAGCAAATTTTGAAGCTTTTTTGATTAATATTTTCTTTAAACTGGTTTTTAAATGTTAAATTTTTTTAGCTGCTTTGCACTAAAATTGTAAATTTTCTGGTCCCAGAAAAAGTCGGGAAGCACTGAGTTATAATAAATTTCTTTTTAAGATCTTGGTACATTTTTGGAGAGTGTTTACCTGTCTTGTAATGAAACTTTTTTAGTTCCATGTTTATGAATAATGTTTATGTGTAATTTAGTCTTAATAATTAGTCTTGTTTTCAATGCTAGTTTACAATTAAAAAATATGTTTAGGTTATTTTGAAATTGCTATCTAAAATAAATAAATTTTTTAAAAATATTTAATTATAACTATATTTTGTATCAACTTAACTTGGTCCCATATGCATGCAAAAATTTTCCTGCTATAGTTTCTTTCTGATGTTGTTAAGTAAGATTGATAGGAAATATCTTTTATGGCGATTCAACCCATTATGGACCTTGACTTGCTGATCAATGTTGTTCCAAACTTTTTTGTTCCTAGTCTTGGATTTTGTGTTAATAATTTTTATTATGATTAAATCTTTTGTTTTGTTCATTCTTTCTGTACAGCTATGCCAAAAGTCACAATTTTATAAAAAGATTTTTTTTATTTTTTTTTTATTAATGTACTAACCAAGTTTGCTACTGTTTCTAATCCTCCCCTGTGAATATGTCATTATAGGCATATCATTCTTCAACTGCATTAAACATTTTAGAATTTATTCTTTTATGCCATATAATTTAAATATTAACCTTAAAATTCATTGGATTGGCTCAATTGGCTAGACATTTGGCAATGTCTATTTTTGATAAACCTTTAATAATGGATCTCTCCCTTTATGCCAAAGCGTTGATTAATAATCACTTCTTAATTGGTATTTAATCAAACAAGTCATGGAGGCTCATAACTCCCTTGATCTGTTCCTTTTTATTATTCAAAACAATGCAAATCATAAATAAGGATCAATAAATTTAATTGCCTTTTTTAAGACGGCACACTCGAATTAATGCATATGCAACAGCTTTTCAGAAAAACGTTTCATAATAAAACCGAATATAACCATTCTTAAAAGTTAATCAGAGGGAGACATTTTATAACTATTGCATTATTTTTTTAATAATGCTACAAAATTTAAAAAAAATTTATTTAATTGATTTATTTTTTTTTCATTGTGTTATAATAAATTTAACTTAAACTATTATAATTTTTTTCAGAAAAATAAATAATTAAGTACTAATTTTTTTTCTATGCTGTGACATATGCTAAGTACAGATTGCATTTCTTAATTCTCAAATTGGAAAATATGCAAAATCTTTCAATCTACTACACATTATATATATATATACATATAGAGAACATATAGATATATCAATATATAGAGAAAACAAGGCGAAAATTACAGAATAATGAAAAGGGGGGGATTTCTTATTTTTCTTCGTGTTTTTTTATATATTTATTATGCTATATATATAAAAGAACATAATTTTTATTTATTATTAACAATCCAAAAATGAACCAAAACAATAATATCAATGCAAACTTTATTAAAAGCAGATAACAAAGAGATTAAAACATAATGTGAATCTACAAATGTTTTTTTATTTATTAGAAATGCTTCTTTAAAAAATATTGAATTTATTGTGATATTATTCATAGTTTTCATTATTTATTTATTTTTCAGGACAGTAATATCCATCAAAGCTTGTGATGTGCTGGTATTAGACAAAGAGATATTCAAGAAATTGAAAATGAAATTCTTGTACATTTTAAGGCCATTAATTAGGTTAAGCACTTATTGTACTCTTAATAAATTTTGAAAACAATGGAACATTTAATAGACTGAAAATTCTGTGAATTTTTTTCCATTTCATGTATATTGATAAATAATTCATATAGTTGGTGTTATTTGCCTAAAAATTGTACAAAATGTAATATGTTAAGGAATGAATTTTAGTTTTATAATTATTGAAGTCATTTACAAAGAAAATATTTTTAACAAGTTGTTAGTTGTATGTTCTTGAATAATTTGATTGATTGTTCAAAAGTTTTCAATAATAATGTATTGTATTTGTGTCCTTGGATATTTTGTTTCTTCTTCTTGTAGTTTAATGTTATGATGTAAATTTCAGTGAATAAAAACTTTAAAACTTGTATTCCTGTATCTTGTGACTCTTGAAATCTTCGTATTCTTTATCACACAATCGTGCCATGGCATTTGGCTGCAGTAGAATGTTCCTTTTTGTAATTTCTCTTGTTGTGGCTATCAGAATTCAATTTTTTCCTTAGCACTAAAAAAAAAAGTTAAAAATTGCTTTCCATTAGTAATCAAGTTATTTTATTAGTATTATTTTTTTTAAAATAGTTATTTGTTGAGTAATTACCAAAGAGTTTGTGATCTGATCTTTCAAACACTTCTTCAAATTCTGATACCACAATTAGGGTAAAATAAATCTATAAATGAAAAATATATTGCAACATACATTACTTAATTATAATATTTATAGGTAATTAAAAATATATAAGTCATATCTAAATGAAGCTACTTAAATGCTTACCAAGATGGGTGAAGTTGTAGAGCCAACAATGATACCACCAACTAAAAATTTATGCAACTCTTTTTGCTTCTCCTATTAACATACATATAGTGTTTAAATTTTATAAATTACTTTATATGTTAATAAATAATTTACATCAATAAGATAGAATTATGTACACCAAATAGGTTTAATAAATATTAAGGTTGTGTTTTATATTGCATAAACCAGTTAAAATTTTATCCTTTACAGCTATAATGTGTGAAATTTTGGGGATTTTTCAATATTTATAACAAAGATAAATAATATCTGACATTAGAAGAAAACAGAAATATGTTAAATACTGAATTTTTAAGAGTACACTTTCAATTTTATTTGTATTACAGTAGTATATAAAAATTATGCAAAAATAAGGTTCTATAAAATAAATATTGTTTATTTTTGCAATTAGCTTCCAAAGTACAGTTCCCATTAGTATGCCTAGTTAAATACTGAACAATTAAGCCAGTAATCTTCTCTACAATTTTGAATTAAAGACAAAATAACCAATCTAATAGAAAGTGAGTTCTAATAAATTTTAAGAGCATGTTTCATATTATATTGCTTAAAATTGATTCTACACATTCAAGTTATGGTGTGTAGATTCTTTGTGCTTTTTTAATTTTTGGAACTTCAACCCCTTACGTTAAAAGTTTGTGATAACTCACTAGGCTGAAAGGCAGGCGGAAAAACTTGCAGTAAATCCATTTCATTTATCTAGGAGGATTTAAAATAAATGTACTATTGAGTTTTACACTGCATCACTTTTTCCCTTCAAGTATCCTATATTTTATTTATTTTTTTAAATATTAATTATCAATGCATTTTTGTCTTTAAAACAAAGTAGAATGAAATGATACTATTGCCAGATTTTGCACTTTTTCCACCTTGGTGCATATAAGCTTTTAGCTTTGATAACTCATCCCAAAATACTTCTTAAGGGATTAAAAAGAAAACTACTGCTTTATTTAAAATTTGTGCAAGAAAAACTTACAGTAATGTGGGATTTTAAAATATGCATATAAAAGAAGTCAATCATTTTTAATCTGAACAGTGCCAAATTTATTTAACTGGCTATAAGAGTCTTTTTGCTTCAGAACGAACATAGTGCATTAAATTAAAATTCAAACATTTTTTTACAGCTAATTAATTTCTATTACGTAAAAATTTATACCAGTAGCACTCCTAAAACAATGACTCCAATGCAAGAAAGAGCAGCATCTACAGGAAGCATTATTATGCTTGGAATGATAAATAGACCTTGCTCCTAGAGGGGGGATAGAGTTTTCAAATAAAACACATTGCATGCAATTTAATAAACGATTAGTTACAATGTTAAAACTAAAGCACGTGGAACCTAAGTATATAAATTTACTGCAATGTTAAAATAAGGTATCAAATAATAGTGTAAAAGTTATATCTTCTTGCACTTGAGTTTGCTGTAATGTCAGGAATAATATGATCCAGTGATGGAATACCTGACCCTACAAATGTCATATTTATTCTTCATAATGTTAATAAAAGAAACATGTTTTAGATCAACTAGTATAAGTTATCTCAGAAATGACTGCTATTTCCCAACCTTACCCATTCATGTTTTCACTATGTCGTCTCTGAGACTGAAAAAAAATTATCTTAATTTTTGTTATCACTGGAAGCCATTTAACTCCGGAAAACGGGAATGTTCTAAAGTAATCTCATCCGTCACAAAAGTTACCCATTTTATTGTAAATGATGTAGCAAAAAATTTATTAAATGTGTTCATTTATACATTCTATGCAATGAACATTTGATTACCGTTAATAAAAAAATTATATACATATAGCACAATAAATAAATACAAAAAGGATTAAAAAAAAGAGGAAGAAAAATATATATTTACAAAATAACTTTAAATCTTACCTCTTTTACTGCAGGTACGAGACCGAATGACGTCACAGTATGCATTGCAAAATAAGCAGCAGTGAATATAAAATATAATGGGTTAACTGTAAGAAAAAATACACAAACTCTAGGCAATTTTGAAAAATTAATAAAACTTTTTTAATTATAAACTAGTTTATTTGTAATTGTACAGCATAGTACTAAAATATTTAATTTAATGACAGTATTTTTTCTCGAAACAAATAAATACATAAATTTTTTACTAAAAATCTAGTGGTTTTGTTGCACAATTTCAAAAACCGAGCAAACTTTTGCTTCCTATTTTTCAACGCTACAAAAATTTCAAAACTTTACCATTACAAAAAAATTTACTCATCAAGTAATTGATCATAGAACAACAGGACTAAATTCTTATAAATAATATTAATATTGACTAAAAGTGACGTATGTTATCAAAATTTTAGTTCTTTAATAACTTTTACTCTTTTGTGATTAGATAAAATCACTCGTGTTTGAAACAGCTGTAAGTAAGACTAATAATAATAATTGATTACTTACAAGGAAATTGACCTTGAAGTTCGTCATCTTGAAGTACGATGGGCAATCCAAAAAAGAGACGAATGACTGATCCTACGCAAAGTGCGATACTTAGACCCTTTAATAAGAGCAAAACAACTAATAAAGAATAAATCAAAATGAATTTTTTTTTTCATTTCAATAATGTAATTTATAAGAAATGTAAAAAAGGATTAATATGGTTATCCTGGATAACATGGTCCAGGGTGTTGAAGCCGGTATGAATGTAGTAATAGTAGCGCCACCTACATCAATTAGAAAAAAGTTACTTCCTTGTTGAATTTCTTTGCGTCTAGATATAGACCAATACGCTGTTCTCAATAAACGCATAATTAATAATTAATCCGCCATTTATTTCTTTTGTTGTTGTTTATCTAAAATCAGATCGACATTTTCTTTATGAGCTCGTAATACACGAACCACGCAAACCCGCATACGCAAATTAAATACAAAATATCAACACAGGGTCCTTAAAAAGGCTATTTACATTCAAAGAAGAACTATTACAGTAAACATGATACAAAGCGTACAAAAATAGTGAAATAATGCTGATAAAAAACCTTTTTATTCTTCAAAATTTATCGTCTAAGTAAATTATTTATGTCAGATTCCAAAGTAGTTGAATACGGAAGGAAACTAGGGAAAGGTCTAAATCGTATTTAAATTTGTGTTTTTGATATATAAGGTAGGTAGGAACTTTATTTACGTCGCACTAGAGCTGCACAATAAACTATTGGCGACGGCCCAGGAAACATCTCTGAGGATGATCCGAAGACACGTCATCGGTATTTTGATCCTCTGAAGAGGGAATGGCTCCCCTGCTTTGGTAATCCGACGACCTGCGTGCGAAGTTGAGCACTTTACAGTAAAACAGTTTAACGAGGACCGATATCGCGCACCCTCGGTCCCTACGCATGTTGATCAAAGTAGTCACCCACCCGCTTACTGACCGCAGCCAGAGATACTTTACTTCGGTGTTCAAATGGGAATCGTGTCTTCCCGATCAGTCCACTGCGGGTCTTGGCTATATGAAGTATGCACCCAACTTCGATGCGAACTTAGCCATTATCCTGAATTTATTGAAGAGGGAGGCTGAAAACTTAATTATTGCTGTAAAGTTAGTTTACTTCAACTGCATTAAACATTTCTAAAAACGTTAATAGATTTACTATAATTTTTATCAAACATTTTAGAATCTATTATTTTATGCCAAATTATTTAAATGTTAACCTTAGAAATCATGGGGTTTTGATCAATCGGCTAGATATTTGGCAATGTCCATTTTTGATAACTTTTGAATAATGGATCTCTCCTTTTACTTAGTTTTAGAAGTTATAAGCTATTTGACAGGTATATTGAATAAAAAGTACAATTTTTGACTTATACCCATTTATGCTTCTGATATTCCTATCTAAATAATGAAATATTGTTTCCTCGGCATTATTTTAAGCATAATTTAATAAAACCAAAAGCAAGTCGACAGAGTAAATAGTTTATACAGAATTTATAAAAATTTAGAGGGAAAAAGCACAATTTATGTATTTAAACTTATTTATGCGATTGACATAGCTATTTAAATGAAAGGACAATTGTTTATATGCTTTCGTACGTTAAATCAATTAAAAATTAGTTGGTACAACTACTAGTTTCGAAGTGCGTAAAAAACTTTTATGCGTAAAATAGTATAAGCTAAAAAATTAATTTCAATACCTAACTTGTCTGTAGTAATATTTAGGTTTTGATCTCCCACCCTCAGCAAATTGAAGATGGCGGCTAAAACTTATCTTCGAAGCAAACTTCAAATAGTGAAATTAGACTTGAAGCAAATTTCAAAAATAACAACAAAAAAACAATGTTTAGCTTACCTCGGATTTTTTTTCTGAAAAAAAACTCTTTTTAATGACACAGAAACTAAAATTATGTAATTAAATATTTTATGAGGTGTTTTTTTTTAATTTCGTACCTAAAGAACACGTTTTACATTCAAACAGTATTGTAAATGCTAAACGTTTGGGTACCGGAGTCCGGAACTCATATATTCATCATCGGGAAACACAATTCGCTGAATGACATATGACTAGTAAACAAACCTTATGGTTTGTTTACTAGTAAACAATGCTGAGAATCAGAGAGATAATCGTAAATCTCTGAGATTAGACGATATACTATAAATTTTATAATATATTTTTCAACGTTATTCATTTCATCTATAGTTATTTTCACTGTTATGACCCATTCATATTGTCTCATCTTTTATTTACATAATTTTTTATTTGATTTTCACTTTTCTAAATTATTATCAATATTATACATCGATTGTATATATTCTACTATACTGCCGTGCAAAAATACACGTAAGGCGATAAAAATATCGAAATATAGAATTTATATATACGGCATTTTTTAAGGGACAGATTGCGAATTTTCTTCTTCTTTTTTTAAAAAAAAAATAAATAAATTTTGTTTTATCATTCTTTTGAAATTCTATTTCAGCGTTTACTACATGAGCGAGGCTAAGGAAATAGTTGTCAAGCAATTCTTCTCGGAATCTATCTAGAATCACTTTTTTTTTTTTTTTTTAATTGCACGGCAGTATGCTATATATTTACTATACGCCGGAGAATGTCATTACAGTTTAAAATTAACTTTATAATATTACAAGCAGAAAATAATTTGATTTTAGGAAGGAAAAAAAGAAATCAGTTGAGGGACTTAAAGAATTAAAAGAAATAAGATTAAAATTTCAGAACAGCATTCCAGCTTCCATGGTACTACGGAAAAAACGTACCGGAACTTTTCGACCTTTGGATTCAACTCTGTTTCACATATTAAGAAAGGTAGCATCATAAAACGTCAGCCATTTTAATAGTTTTCGTATTTTGAATATATTAACGCTTAAGTCTAAAATTCCGTTATTCTACAGATTATACGCAGATTAATTAAGATAATCCGCTGTAAGTACCAAAAAATTGTTTCTTTTTTCAAATTTTATCAGAAATCGGCACGCTACCTAGATATTCTGCACATTACCTATTAGGAACTCGTTTAAGTGAAAATAAGATCTTTGATGGAACAACACAGCAGCGTTTCCGTACATTTAAATCAACATAATGTTATTTATTTATTTTTCCCTATCTAAATCAAGTTAATATAATTAATTCATCAACACACTAGTTAACAGAATCAATCATAAATCCCTTTAAAAACTATAATTCCAAGAATTAAATTATTTTCCAACATTATTTCCATTAAAGAAACTAATATAATATTAATTGTTTATTTTTCAATATCTAAAGAATCAAGTCAAGATTATACAAACGAACAAACAACAAATTTATCGATGAAATTAGAGAAAGAAATTGTAACAATAGTTAAATTGCCTAAAACCATTAATCCCGCTCTTATACGGATTATCCTTGTTAATTTTCAGATTGGTTTGGTAATGTGTATATATTAACGGCATTTGAGTTTTAGCGATAATAATTCATAGACTGAAATAGACGTTTGCTGTTAGTTTAATGGTTTCAAGATGTTCAAGTATTAATAACATTTTGATAACTTATTATAAAAAAATATTCGTGAACGATGTAACATAATTTTTTTTCATTATTTTGATTAGTGCAACAAATTACATTCAATAAAATTAAAATGACATAGATTGAAATAATTCTCACCCCTGTCACATAACCAATCACAACACATCCTATCTTGGTGCCCCATTTACAAAGAAATGTTCTAGGAAGCATATCCTGACTCTTAATAGTAAATGCAATTTTCTGTTTAAAGTGTTAAATTATAGGCGAATGCTTAGATACCTAGGTATTATTGCATTTCACAGGAAAGAGATAAACGGGATTTTCTTTTAAATCCTTAAAAAGTTCGCCTCTCCACTTTAAACTCGGAGATATTTGTTGGATTTAGATAAAACAAGCTATATAAGAAGCCGACCAGGAAAGTTTTATCTGTATGCTCATCTATGCTAATTTAGAGTATCGTGTGTTTTGGAAATGTTATCTATTTAAACTGAGACGAAATAGTCTAGATCTGCTGTTAACACTTTTTTTCAGCAATGGAACCCGAAATTATCAAACTTCATTCAAAACCCAGACATAATAATTGAAGTATATAAAGATAATTATGAACGTAATAAACCAATACAATACCATTTTATTTTGAAAATATTTAATTAGCGGAATAACTGTGGTGGCTTAAGGGATAAATTGCTCACCTCTTAATGAGGTGACCCGCGGGTTCGAATCCCAGCGATGGCTTGTCGATATAAATTCTGCACCTGGCTCGCACTGACCACAGTGCTATGCCACGTAAAATATCCTCAATTGTAGACGGATCATGGGTTAAAGTCACCTTGCCATCAGGTTAGCCGTAGGAGGTTTTCCTCTCCATGCAACGCAAATACGGGTTATTTCCATCAAATTGTCCTTTACGAAGACATGTTTCTCCTAATGCTTAATCCAAGAGATCCCTTGTCTTCTGGGTTGGAATCAAAACTACAAGGCTACGGAGTTCTGTTCAACGACGGTTATATAATGAAATTAGAGAATTTTTCTATCTTTATTTATCTTGAACTAGATATATGTCCCAAAGTTAAATTCGCAGTGTTGGAGCTTCATCTTGCCTAGCAATGAATTTATTTTATGTGTATTCGGTATAAGCTGAAAACGAATAAAATAAGCAAAATTGTGGTTTCCTTTGAAAGGAGTACTGAAAAAAACTGCTGTGAACGTTGAAAATGATTATTAGGGAAACATATTTCATTATTTGAGAATTTAGTTATGAAAAGTACTAAGGCAATTTTTTTATAAATGCATGTCCTTTTCATAATTAATTCAACAAATTGTCATTACAAAACTATTTATTTTTAAAAAAAATAGCTATTTTTTTCATTCGCAATTTACTATTGTTATTTCAAAAAGACAATCGAAACAATAGATAACGGATTATTGATTAGATTTAAATATAATTAAAAATTTAGAATCTATAACTGGTTTTAAAAAAAAAACTCCTAACTCTCAAAACTTCTTTTCACAGAGTAAATCACCAAGCATCACTGGCAACGGTCATTGAGAGGTTGGGTGACCACTTTGGGCAGTTTGCGAAGGGGTTACGCTGCATCGGTCCTAGTTAAGCTGTTTTACAATAGACTGATCAACTTCGCTCTTAGGTCGTCAGGCCAAAGAATATAGAGGGTTGCCCTCTATATTCTTTGATCAGGCTACCGAAGCAGAAGACTTATGACTTATCCCCTCTGCAGAGGAACAAAGTTGTGGTGGCATGTCTTCGGATCATCCTTAGCGATGTTTCCCAGACAGTCGCCGATAGCCCATTGTGCAGCTCTGGTGCGACGTAAACAAATATATAACGGAGTATTGATTAGATTTAAATGTAATTAAAAATTTAGAATCTATTCCTTGCTTTTTTTTTTTAACGACGTTTCTTTCCTGAAATAAAAAACTAACGTTTCTTTCTAGAAAAACAAAGTTCTTAATTTACAAAACTCTCGTGAGGCCTGTTTTGACATTATGTTTCTGAAGCTTGGACAATGACAAAACTGGAGGAAAATTGTATCGCAATATTTAAAAGAAAGGTTTTGCGGAGTATACTTGGTGGTATGAATGAAAACAATAACTGGAGAAAGAGATTTAACTTTGAACTGTCCAAGATTTATAAACAATCCGATATTATTAAGTACATAAAAATAAATAGAATGAATTGAATGGCGCACGTGATTCGAATGAGTGATAACAATACAATAAAAAAGATAATCCTTTTTAGACGCATTGGAATAAGAAAGCGGGAAGGCCGCGGATGAGATGTGTTGATTCGGTGGAGTCGTTATGCAGAAATCTTCAGAGGAAGAAATTGGCTCACATCGGGCTGTCTGGCCAACTATGATGATGATGAGAGGTGCATTTAAAAGACGATTTACATCCCATGAGTTCGAAATAGTCAGCGTAATGCTGATAAGGCATATATCTCGTCAGTGGATACTTTTCTATACGACCCACAAGCTGCAGGTGAACTTAACAAATGAAATATATAATACGTTATTTACACTGCTTATTCTCAGAAAATCTTCGTTTGAATAATTTTCATAATTTGCAGTTGAAGAATTACATTATTGTATCAATGCCTCGATCACACCACTTAAATTCTATTCATTTTTTGGTCCCTAATCATAAAGTAGGGAATCACAATGATCACCCTAATCACAATAATCAATACAACAATGATGTAAATATCTCTTTAGACATAGATTACACGATTTTGCGGGTTATATATTAACGCAATATGTATATGCATAGTGGTTATATATTCATTTTAAAATAAATTTGAACTGAGTAAACATTTTCTTCTCTAAAAACTATCATTCTGATATTAAAAATACACATAACAAACATGAAATTATATCTTTGATAAATAATGTCTAATGCGCATGGATTTAGTAGAATTATCTCCATAAAATAACTTTCCTAGCACTTTTTATGTTTTGGGTAATTTGAACAAGAAAAAAGCGCTATTTGGATGACGCAGTGAATAGAAAAGTTTATTTATTTAATATTTATTTTTTGCAAATGCTCGAGGCTTGTATTTTTTTTTTAAGTATTGCTAATTGAATCAAATTGATTAAGTTTTCTAAATGATTATTATTTGAAATGATGAAAATACTAAACTACTAAACTGTTTTTTTTTTATATTTATACTATTTATATATTTTTACTTAAACTGTTTTTTCAATACTAGAACTGTTTTTTTCCCTTAAATATATATATATATATATATATATATATACAACTTTACCTTCTTTTAGGCNGAAAATTATCAAAATCAATTATATATATATATATATATATATATATATATTTCTGTGATTTAACTATTCGTATAAGTGTGCTAAAATATTAAAATAAATAAATGAAATCCTGATTTAAATCCAATTTTGTTTTTGGTACAACTTGTCCTTTTCGGCATTCATATACATATGACCTTTTGAAATTTGATTTATGTGGAAAAAAATAATTTCAATGGTACTTTTCTTAGTTGAAGGCTAGAGAGGAACGGAAGCTGACAGAAAAAGAATAATTAGGGAGAAAAAAAAATAAAAGAAGAGTAAAGAGTAATTACTTCTTTTTTTTTTCTCCCCCATTTGCTCTCTTGATCTCAAAATAGTGATATACGTCAAAGCCTTTCCAGAAATTCTGTATACTTTTGTCTTTAACCATTCACTTCTTAATTCGAGATTTTGCCACACAACACTTGAGTTACTACTTGTCAAGTGCTATAACAACACACAATAGTTCCGATTGGAACAAGATAATCTATTAACATGGTTTTACGAAGTTCTTTCGCCAAGGAAAATAAAAAAGTAACAGTTTAAATGGCCTACACTTGAAGCAAAGCTATAATTTTAAAGTATATATGAGTGATTCTCACGAAATATGATAATTCACAGTCTCTTGCTCCAAGATCTAATACTATACTACTAAAAGAACTTTTTTTAAAAAAATTTAATAAATAGCATTGCTGTTAGCCTTTTAAAATGACCTTGTACTAGTATCGACTGTTTTGTATATTTATGAAATTTAATTGAATTTCAAAATGTCCTGTTCCTGGTATGTCACAAACAATATTTGCAATAATAACTAGCTTCAAAACTTCGCATAAATTTTTCGATGTCTAATTTTTTTTTTATCTCAACCGTTGTAACATTTCTAGAATCTACGCATAGGGTATCATTTACAAAAACTTCTTTTAAAATAATTTTTTCTGTCAATAATTTGTTTGTCACATGAAAATCTGTCATTTTCCTGGCTACTTTTATTTAGTGATTTATAACCAAAATAGATAGCGCCATCAATCAATATCTTATGTTAATAGATGGATTAGATACCATCCTATCTGAACATGCCTTGTTGCATGAATAAAGAACCAACTTTCTGGTTCAAAATCTATTTCAAAAAATTTTTCAAGGTGAGTAGGTTTTTATGTTGTCATTTTCCTGTCTTCTTGAAATCACTAATACCATAAACTACATAGATTTATCTGAGTTATTTCAAGAAATCTTGATGTTTTCTGCGGAATGTAAACGTCTTAGGCCAAAATGTTAAAGTTAAATGCTACAAAATGGCAAATTTTTCATCATCCTGTGGCTGTCATTATCCTGGCTTATGAATGCCAGGACATTGAAATGTTACCAGAAATTTTTTTAAACTGTATACTGTAAAGAGGGAAAGCAAATATTAACCTAATACCAAGTTTATGTATGATTGTAATATGCTTGGATGTAATCAAAGTCATTTATTTATTTAATGATTAATTATTATACGCAATTTTATTCTGTGCATATCAGCAACAAAAACGTTTTTGATTCTTTTTACAGTGGATAAAAATAATTAATTTAAGCAATTTATGGTTCATCTAACCTAAAGGCTTAAGTTGAGTTACTTACTATTAAATTAAAATGATTGTTTTTTAAACTTTTAAGCTAATATGTCATTTTCTTAGTATTCAAGATTTGGTGAATTTCTGTTTTAATTTTTTTTCTTGAGCAAATGTCAATAAACTACATTGCTGTCTGTAAGATATTAATAAATGTAACTAAATAAATATACAAAAAATTTTTTTGATTATTTTGAGGACTAAATTTGAAGAAATTTTTTGGTTCGAATTGTCATGTTTCCAAAGAATCACCCATATACCATCTTGCCGCGAAGAATTATCTCGGATTTAGAACTGACAAATAACCTAAATTTTTTAAATTCGCAATTTTGGCGACCTTTTCCCACCTAGATGAAAATTATCAAAA